TTGTTTGTCTGAATGCTTGTGATTCAGCTGTAGGCCAGCAGGGGGCGAACTCGGGCATTGAAGATACTGGATGGTATATAAAAAGTGACTTCCTGTGTATGAGGCAGTGTGGTTTTGGTTGTCATTCTGCTGGCAATAAACCTCACTCCGGAATTCTGGTGTTGTATGGCATTTATTTCTTATCACAGATCATTTTATTTAACCTTTGTGTTTTCATCTGACTTCAGCCGATATTAAACACGTATTTCTTACAGTAGTCTGCACTTTGGTTTTCCTTAACCATCAGTGATCTGTGTATTTTTTACTTATTTATGTATTTTTTTAAGTTCACATTCAGGTTTTATTCCATTTCTGGCTCCTCCTTCTGTGCTATCAGTTTCATCTCAGTGACTTCATAAGATTTGATCAGTCTTATGTTGTGTTCCCACTGTCGGCTGCAGACTGAACTCCAGGGAGGAGCTTTGTGTAAATGGGCGGAGCTTTGTGCCAGCAAGCGTTTAGGCAGCTCCACACAGGAGATTCAAGGAGTCAAAGCAACACGCTGTGCACGTTTCTGATGAGGGAATGACATCACAACATGATGTAAAGCTGAAAAAGTTGATTTTGCACAACACCCCCACTTTAAATTTTCTTTTCTTTTCCAGTCTGTCTGCACTTTGGGTTTCAACTCTTCCACAAACACCAACTTTTAAATACATTATTCAAAGTAAACAGTAAGTTTGCAACTAACTTTATAATAAATACGACCTCCTGATCATTTTCAGTRCTCCAGCTGCAGCTGCTGTCTGAGTTTGGACTTTTCTGCTGATGATGTCTGTGCAGAGAGCAGAAAACTCTCTCCGTGCTGCAGCTGCTGTCAGATTCTGGTGTTGCACAACGTTCCCTTTTTACAAAGTTTGCTGCTTGATGAGGAAAAACACAAATATARACGTCGGCTATTTCTGTCTCTGTCTCTGTGTTTCCCTCCCAGGAGGAGGCTTGGCTATGTTGGCAGCGYTTCCAAACTTCCTTCTATAAAACTTAAAAAAAAAAAGGCAACAAAGAGGCTAAAACTTTAAGTTGCAGATTCGTTTAGCACTGCTTACATGTGGAAATAATCATGGGTCTCAGATGAGCATTTATTATTCAACACCTCTGGCTCCATCTGAACTCAGAAGGATTTTACAGCCTTTAGTTATCCATCAGTCATAATGATATTGTTAAATTCTCATTCTTTGCTTTTTGTTTCGAGGTGTGTTTAAGTTGTGTGATGTGTGTTTTCAACATAGACTGTGTTCAATTCTAATCTCAGTTGCTATATCTTTTTCAGAATATTGTTGTYACTCCTGGTGTACTTTTGTGGATTGACTCACCGATAGGGCTGTGTATTGGCAAGAATTTGGCGATACGATACATATCATGACAGAGAGGTCACGATACGATATGTCCCGATATATTGCGATACTATAAGCAAGGCGATATATTGCGATTTTTTTGTCCAAAAATTCTATTAAATAGAAACCTCTTACAGGGGAAAAAATGAAAAACCAAAATTCATTGTCTCATAAAATTCTAATAT